CAGAAGTTAATGGCCGTTACATTACAATATTGTGGTCCCGTTTTTCTTAAAGTAACCAATTTCCCAAAAAAAAAAATCAAATAAATTATGTGAGGGATCTATAGAGTTCTATTCCCTTGCCCCAAGTTTTTTTTCCCCTAAAAAATAGATTAGCAATTATACAAATATTTCTTGGTGACTTTCAATGAATGATTTTTAGAACCACCGAACAAAATAGGCAAATTAACTTCATCAACAAAATAAAAGTATTTGTTTACTATTTTTACATAGTAATTATTAACGGAGGAAACAGAAAAAAGAGAGAGAAGAGAGAAATGTGTGTGCAAATTGATGTATTAGATATGAAGATGAATAGTGCGGCAAATTTGAAAGAGAATAAGAGAGAAATATTTCTTTTCCTTGTTTTCTAAAAGAAGATTTCTTCTCTAACAACTCCTAACTCTCATTCTCATTGAGTAAACGGAGTTCATGGACCAGGCCGTTCTTATCTGCAGACAAAGCCACCTCTCTGTGACGAGTAGTGTGCACGATTTTGCTAGAAGTTTCCACTTATAGAAGTTTCCACCTCTTTGTGGCAGCGTCAAGAAGTTTCCAAGCTTCAACGGTCCAAATATCATCGAGGAGCACCAAACACCTGTTATCCTTCTGAACTTTGCAGAGCTCCTTGGGTACTTCATCATCTCCCATTAATTTGATTTCTTCTCTTTTTTCTTTGTTATTGTTTATTGATTTGATCAAAATGACGCTTGACTTGAGGATGATGATAAACCTTTTTAGCAAGTGTGGTTTTTCCTAGACCGCCCCTCCCACAAATAAAAATTACGCGATGTGGATTATCTTCTTTCATCAACTCCGCTGCCAACTTCTCGGTATGTAATGGAAGTAATGTATATAAGACTATGAGGCTATGCTTAGCAATCCCACGTCGCAAAGTATGATAATGTATCCAAAATGTTATTATGATAATGATATATGAATAAAAATAGTATGCAAATGATAGGTTAAATATACGACTATGTTAGAAAGATACTTTTAATGTTCAAGTTTTACTAAGAATACTAATCGATGTTTTCTTCCGTCAAAGTATATTAGCATCTATTTCAATATTAAGGAAAAAAACTAGCCTAAATTTTAGGAGTTTATGGTTTTAAAATAATAGTAGATGTTAAGATATGAGTTAAGTATGAACGTAGTTGTAATGACTGAGAAAATTTCAGACCTTAAATAATACAATTCATGTATTTTTAAGCCAAGGATTTTCTTAGAAAATATTATGTTATATTGTGAATGGAGGATTTATGGAATTAATATATGTATTCCTAAATTCTATAGCAAATTTCATGTTAAGTTCATGTTTCGATTAAGTAAATTCGATCGATAAATTCTCGCCGTATTTTAAGGCGGAATAATTTTCAGTACAAGTATAGTTTGAGAATCTTAATTTCAAGAATCTCCAAGCACAGCACGATGTTAGCGGCGTATAAAAAAAATGCACTGACATTTTAAAAGAAGAAAAAAACTCCTTAAGTGCCAGACAGTTAGGTTAAAGTCACAAGATAAATACCTATAGTAGATGGGTACAATATGAGCTCGGGAGTTGACACTGTCAGAAACGTCATTCTCGGGATAGAATGCAGAAAAGTAAAATTTAGAATTTGTTCAGTCTAAAATTAATTTCAAGACTTGAAACAGTTTGAAATATTACGCGAGTAAGAATATAAAACAATATTGAATTATTCAGAAATTAATAGTGGACTGTAAGTAGTAGATTAACTTACGTGAGCTAAACTAATTACCTCTAATCAGTATAAATTTAATCTGTTTAGAGGAAATAATTGAGGATAAGATCAGGCACGTAATCTTGCCTTAATCAGACACTTTATATAGTGAAATTTTTAGGGTTCTATCATTTTCTCTCTCTTGCTTCCGTTCACACTCTCTCTCTCCTCTCACGTTCTCTCACAAAAAAAAAAACAATCAATGGCCAAATACCTAAGTTCAGATTCCAACCTCTGTTTTTTACACCGCCGGTGTCAATAGAAAGATCTCGACGAGCTGAGTTCAACGACATACGGCACGACCTCTAACTCCGCCGGATCCAGCCGTAATCGCCGGCGAAAGTTTCAAAATTACCCATTTCTTCCCGTCGTGATATCTCCGTCATCCGACCTCCGATTGAGATGATTTCAGTCCCTATAGACTCAGTGCAGCGAGACGAAGAAAACCCATCCATTTTCATAGCTCGATTCTGGCCGGAACACCCCTGTCCGTGGTGGTCGGAGTCCCCGCCACCGCCGCCATCGTTT